GCTGGCCCCACACCTACGTGTGGCGGATAAAAGTCAGGAGGACACTTTGGCTGGGAGCGTCCTTCCTGAGGACTGAGGGGTCCCTGTCCCACACCAGGAGTACCGCTCAGGGTTCCAGTGCCAGGAGGAGAATCCCCATCACTTCTGGCTGGAAAAACCAGCGGGAACTGAAGCTCAGGGAGGCTGAGGTGGCTGGAGTCCCAGGCAGCTCCTCTTAAAGGGCCTGCGCACAGACTTATTGGACTCACTTCCTCTAAGCTTGGAGGGGAGGCAGCTTGAGGGGCACCAGAGACATACAGGGAAGAACTGAGCCGGTTGGCATTGGAGCGAGGGTTGGAGACGGGCTTTCTCGGGGACAAACTGCTGTCAGAGGCCTTTGCTCCGTTAGTGAGCCCTTCCCTGGGGCGGCAGACAGCCCCCATATATGGGACTCCAGCAACCTGGCTCACACTGGTTGCTCCGCCCTGGTAATTCCCTGAGGCCCCGCCCCACCCAACTTTCAGGCCCACCCAAGCTGTTGCCACTTGCTTTACCATAGGATTGGCCTATCTTGGATCCTGCTTCAGGTTTTCCTAAATTCTTTCAAACAAGCAGCATATGGTATCAGCTAGCCCCATACCTCTCGTTAAGTAATACATAGAAACAAACACAGGGAAGCAGCCAAATTGAGGTGACAAACAAACAGGTCCCAAATTGAAAGAACAGAAAAAATCTCCAGGAAAAGAACTAAGCGAAATGGACATAAGCAATCTAACAGATGCTGAGTTCAAAATACTGCTTATAAGGATGCTCAATGAACTTAGTGAGAACCTCCACGAACTTAGTGAGGGCCTCAAGAGCATAAAAAAGGACCAGTCAGAAATGAAGGAGGCACTAACTGAAATAAAGAATAATTTACACAGATTCAATAGTAGAGTAGGTAAAGCCAAGAAGCAAACCATCGATTTGGAATATAAGGAAGCAAAAAACACCCAATCAGAACAGCAAAAAGAAAAAAGAATCCAAAACAATGAGGATAGTGTAAGGAGCCTCTGGGACAACTTCAAGCATGCCAACATTCGCATCTTGGGGGTTCCAGAAGGAGAAGAGAGAGAACAAGTAATCGAAAACCTATTTGAAACAATAATGCAGAAAACTTCCCTAACTTGGTGAAGGAAATAGACATACTAGTCCAGGAAGTAGAATGTCCCAAACAAGATGAACCCCAAGAGGCCCACACCAAGACACATCATCATCAAAATGCAAAAGGTTCAAGACAAAGAGAGAATCTTAAAAGCAGCAAAAGAAAAGCAGTTAGTGACCTACAAAGGAGTTCCCATAAGACTGTATCTGACTTCTCAAAAGAAACCTTGCAGGCCAGAAGGGAGTGACAAGAAATATTCAGAGTAATGAAAAGCAAGAACCTACAACCAAGATTACTCTATCCTGCAAAGCTGTCATTTAGAATAGATGGGCAGATAAAGAGTTTCCCAGACAAGGAAAAGCTAAAGGAGTTCATCACCACCAAATCATTATATGAAATGTTGAAGGGTCATTTTGAAGAAAAAGATAAAATATATGAACAAACAAAATGGCAATGAATACATATCTATTGACAATGCAGTCTACAAACAAAATGAACAGGCAGAACAGAAACGTTCTCATAGATACAGTTCCCTATTGGTTGCCAGATGGGGGGCGGGTTGGGGGAATGGGTGAAAAAGGTGAAGGGATTAAGAAGAACAAATTGGTTGCTAGACTGACAAACCTCAAAGAGAGGGGGGTTGGGAAGAAATAAACCAAAGAATTTATATGCATAACCAATGGACACAGACAACAGTGTGGGAAAAGGCAGGAGGGGGTGGGAGTGGGGAGGAGGGGGTCAGTGGGGGGAAAATGAGGAACATCTGTAATATATTCAACAGTAAAGATAAAAAAATTTTGTTAAATAATTTATATTCTCTGTTTGTTAGGTCTAGGGTCCTCTCTGTGTCCATTATAGCAAATCCGTTAAGTGTATCAATCAACTTTTTTTTTTGTCTACCAGATATATAGATTCTGAGAGGTCAAGTCTCCCACTGGAATGGTAGAATTTGCTGTTTCTCCTTTAAATCTGTCCATGGCTGCTTCCTCTGTGTGGAAGCCATGGATTGGTTGCACATAAATGTGGAATTGTTCCATCTTCATGGTGAAAGTTTCCTTTTGTCATTTTGCAGTCATCATTTTTACCCCTTGGCATGGTTTTTGTCTTGAACCTTCATTTGGTATTAACTCCGTGACACTGTTTCTCTTTGGTTACTATTTGCCTCTTAACATCTTCCCCAAACTGTAATCCTTTATGCTTATATTTTAGGTGTTTTTATAAGTAATGTATAGCTGTTTGGTTTCTTTTTATGCATCTGAACACCTGTCTTGTTTGGCAGGAAGGTTGCAACTATATTCACTGAGATCACTGACCGATGCAGGGAAAGGGTTTAGTTTGTCATCTTTGTATCCTGTCAGGACATGCTTCTCCTTGTTACCCTTCCTCTGGTATCTGTGCCCACGCCATGCCCTTGATGTGGCTACCCTGCATCTTGCTGTTAGAGCGTGTCCTTGTGGGCCCACCTTCTTCCTGGCGTGCTGTTCTTCACTCCATCCCTGCATTCTGTGCACCTCTGCCCAGGGATCCTTCGGGGCTGGGATTGGTACAGCCACCAGAAGTGGACAGCAGGGTAGTAGCCCCAGCACCTGGCTTCACCAGCTGATCTGTCAGTTGGGGGGGCTCACTGGCACTTCAATTTTTATTTCTTATTTTCCAAGATTGTCATTTTTGCCTCATGATCGTTTAACCTTTGAGTTTTCTCTGATGTAAATTGCCTGTTGATATATTTTTACTCATATTTATTCTGGAGTTGCTGGCTGGCTTTCTGTGTTTGCAGGAGTTCCCTGAGTACTCCAGATATCCATTCCTTGTTGGTTTCGGACGTTGTAAGTCTCTTCTGTTCTGTCACCTGCCTGCTCTCTGGTTCCTGTTGTCCTTGATTTTGATGCAACCAAGTATACAGGTGTTTTGCCTTGTGGTTTATGTTTTCATTGTTTTGTTTAAAAAGTTCTTTCTTGCCCAGCCGGTGTGGCTCAGTGGTTGAGTGTCGAACCAGAGTTTGCCAGTTCGATTCCCGGTCAGGACACATGTCTAGGTTGTGGGCCCAATCTCCAGTGGGGGGCATGCAAGAGGCAGCCAGTCGATGTTCTCTCTCATTGATGTTTCTATCTCTCTCTCCCTCTCCTTTTCTCTCTCTCTAAAAAAATCAATAAAGAAAAAAAATTTTTTTAAGTTCTTCCTTGGCCTAGGTCCAGAGATATTCTCTTACATGTCTTGTATTAACTTCATAGTTTTATCTTTAATGTTGAGGCCTGAATCTGTCTGGAGCCACCTTGGTGTGGGGCCAGGAGGGAGTCAGGCTTCATCTACTAAACTCCCACCTTGGCCCCATGGTGTGACACGTATCCCTTCACCACATGTGGACTTGATCCCCCAATCCACACAGCCATTCGTCTGTTCGTACGCCAGGGCCACTGAGACCCTGGGAGTGCACTGCACTTATGTTGAAGTCTCCCTTTCTCCTCTGCAGTGAAGACTGTCTTAGCTTGTTGTGGACTCAGAGCTCAAACCATGCTGTTCGCAGGTCAAGTGTATTGCGTAAGCAAACACTACATTGCGGTCTCTCTTAATACTTGCAATAGTTTTTCAGTTGATTCTTTGTTTTTCTAAGTTGGCAACTAATGATAATTTTATCTCTTTCTTTCAAATATTTAAATTTCTTTTTAAAAAACCTTATTGCATTGACTAGCATTTCCAAAATTATTACACATTGGAACTGAGCACAGATGTTCTTTCCTGACATTGATGGGTGCGCTTTCATCATTCTGCTGCTGAATATTGTGAATATGCATATTCTTGGTCAAATTAAGTACATTTTCTTCTACTTCTGGATTACTGAGAGGTTTTTTTTCCTTAATTTTTTTTCTTTATTGATTTTAGAGACAGGAAGGAAGAGGGAGGGAGAGATAGAAACATTGATGAGAGAGAACATCGATTTGCTACCTCCTGCTTGCCCACCACTGGGGATCAGGCCCAGAACCTGGGCATGTGCCCTGACCGGGAATCAAACCTGCGACCTCTTGGTGCATGGGTCAACGCTCATCCACTGAGCCACACCAGCCAGGCTTACTGAGAGTTTTAAAAATCGTAAATACATATTAATTTGATCTATGCCCACTTATTCATTTTCCAGGTATTGGGTGCCTGTTGTATTCCAGACCCCCTCCCTCCCTTAAGTACCTTACCATCCCCATCAGGGTATTTATAACCCTGCTTCCTTCTCAGGTCATCTGGTCATGTCTGGTTGAAGCTGCGTGTCTCATGAACCCTCTCACTTTGCCCTTTGATAGCAGCTCCAGTTCCAGTCATGCAGGCTCCTTAAATCCAGGATGACATTCAATGTCCTGGCCTGCCCCAGCCTCTGGGTAGTGCCTCAGTGGGGCTGTCTCTGCTGGCGGGCAGGTAGGCCTCAGTCCATCCATCCATGCCGTGTTCGAGGCACTTCAGGCTTAGGGCAGGTGAAATATGTGTTTGCCCTGATGAAGGGGACAGCTTTGTGGGCAGGAGCCAGGACACTGGGGTCATTCCTGAGAAACATAAAGGGCAACACCTATATTCTTTTTTTTTTTTTTAATTGTTTTAATCCTCACTGCAGGATATTTTCCCATTTATCTTCAGATAAAGTGGGAGAGAACCATTGATGTTAGAGAGAAACATCAGTCAGCTGCCTCCTGCACGCCCCCTACTGTTCATCGAGCCCACACCAGGAACATGTGCCCTGACTGGGAATTGAACTGGGACCCCTCAGTCCATGGGGCGATGCTTAATCCACTGAGCCACACCAACTGGACAACACCCACATTCTTAAAAGGGAAAGTGTGCTGTTCTAAATGGACACTCAACGTTCCTGCCATATTTTCATTTTTCTGTATTTCAGTTCTTCACCACCAGGACTGTTCCTTGAGAAGGACTATGAGGTTTACCGGGATTACAATGCAGACGGCCAACTTCTTCACTACAGGTAGAATCCACTGTCGCAGGCTTGGCCCTGTCTTCTGACCAAGGGTGGTTTCATTGTCAGCTCTTGGGTGGGCTAAAGAGTCTGGCTCAGCAGGAAGCAACTAGCTTGATGTGCATGGCGTGCAGGCCCTGCACTAGCCGGTGGGACATGAAGAGTGGCTGGTGGGGCCTCTGGTACCTGGGCAGAGGCCTCCTGGAATGGCACCCAGGCTCATGTGGCAGCTCTTGGTCCTAGAAGAACCTTATCACTGCCCACCTTGGGGGATCATGGAGTCATTGTGCTGCCCTCGGCCCCTGGATGAGTAATAAAGCCCTGGCTGGTGGGGGGTCCTCAGCATGCAGTCTTCCTGGGAGATCCTGGCCATGTACCAAACACTTCCCAGGTGAAGGGGGAACATTGGTTTTAGTCATAGGGAAGAGGGCTTGGGCCTCTCTTTGGCCCTGGGTTTGACCTTGCAGGGTGTTGGAAGGTTCTGGAGATGATGCTTGGGACCCCTAACAGCAGCAGCTGTTAGGCTGAGTGGGGCCATCCCTTGGCCAGCTCCTGTGTCCAGGCTGCAGCAGGAGTCTTCTCCCCCGGCTGTGGGGGTCCAGGTGGGTGTGTGCCCCCAGCACAGACCAGCAGTAACCCCAGTGTTGGGAAGGAATTTGAGGACATGAGGGCTTTTGGCAGTTTGCTCCAACAGTTTTAAAGATTGAGCTAGGAAGTGGTAACTGTACCTCAACACACCAGGAGGGGATCTGAGCCAACCATGGTCCAGCTATATGGCTGTGTGACCGGGGGTGTTTTCCAGCCTCCCTGTGCCTGTCCTCTTCAGTACAGCGAGGTGTGGGCAGCTGACTGGGTGGGCCTCTGCTGCGGCAGTGTTGTAAAGCTTCCCGAGGTGCACGGGAACCTATACCCGTGGGAATGTGGGGCCTAGAGACTGAAGACAGATGCTGACAACTCCAGAATTAAACAAAAGTTTATTAAGGAAACTTATGGACAGAAGCTGAGTGTTGGATCTTTGCACTCCAAAGGGGATGTGGGCTTCGTATGTGTGGCCTCTAGGAGCACACATGGCTAAACCGAGTGGCACATGTCTTAAGGCAGCAAGGAACTTAATGGGCTCACTTATCTCTTTTAGAATATTCCTTTCAGGCGCTATGGGCCCACCCCTCCTGGGGTGAATGCGCCATCACTAAGAGCATCTTGCTTCTTAAGATGGTGTCAGTCGCATCAAGCGACTAGAAAACATTTTGCCTCACAGGTCAGGTTCCCAGACTTGCCCACCTGGTCTTTGCCAGTGCTGCCTTGGCCCTGCCATCCTAGGTCCTAGCAGGGCTTGACATGAGACCAGGTCGTTATTTTATGAGTGGATGCAGTCACTCAGAGCCAGAAAAAGAGGGAAAGCTAACATTTATGGACAGAGTGGGGAAGGGATGCCACCACTCTCCCCCCAGGAGCTGTGGACAGGGTCTGCAAGGAGGAAGGGAAGCAGGAAGGAGCCTGTCTAGGTGCAGCCTGTGCCACCCACCAAGGTTTTGCACTGAGCAAGGCAGGGGCAGGGATGGACAACCCGCCCAACTCTACATGGAGGGGTATCAGCGGGCCTGAAAGTTTGCAGAGCAGTGGAAAGGTTGGATAGTTCAAGTTGTTTTCAAACATCACTTCACATGTGTGGTTCTTGTGTTATACGTGAGTGTGCCTCTGTGGGTTGCATTTACACACTAGTGCAGGGGTTTCCTCTAGGGCCCATGGTGTTGGGTCCAGGTGTCACACAGAGCAGCCACTTTCCTGAGGAGGCGGCAGCAGAATGGCCCTTCAGGGCTTTGATTTGGTGAGGAGCTCTCTGTTCTGCTTTTGAAACAGGTCCTGGGAGGAATGCCCTGTGCTAAATGGAGCCCTTTGTCCCTGCACCTGCCCTTTCAACACCTGCTTCCACCCTTGCCTGCTTGACTTCTAGCATTTCTGGAAGCAGTGGAAAGTTCTGCTTCCTTTGGATAACCAAGCAGTCTTTGCTTTTTTTAGGGACGGGTGGTGTCTCTCTGCCTGGGTGCCCCCACCCTAGCAGAGTTGACAGGGAATTAGGGAACAAGGAGAAGCTTAGGCCTCCTGGGTTTGGGGAGCCGTAAAGACACTGAGGTCTAAGGGCAGACCAGGGAGACTGCACTGGGTAAACGGGTCGCTCAGTTGTCCTGGAGGGAAAGCTGAAGAAATCCTAGATGAGAAGCAGACAGCAGGCCTGGAAACTGGATGTGAGGGTTCAGGGTGGAGCCCCAAGATACAAACACATTATGGGGTCCTGTAGGCATGTAGAGTGTGTGGCTGTGGAAAGGCCATGAGGCTTGGCCTGGGCATGACAGGTAAAGCTGCCTGCACCGTGGGTGAGCGCATGATGCCTGGAGAGACAGATGAGGGAGATGCCTCCTCAGACCAGAGACTTGCTGGGCTATTGGGAGGGAGCAGCACTTGGCTGTGGTGCATCTGCTTTCTGTAACTAAGGACCATCTCCGGGCCTCTGAGAATCACATCCCCATCTGTGACATGAAACCTGCAGGGACCTTGGGCCTGTCTGGAGGATCAAATGAGAGACTTCTTGGAGGTGCTTGGACACAGAAGGGCTATAGCACTGGCCCTCGACCCCAACCAGGGGCTCTGTGTGCGTGGCAAAGGGGAGGGCTGCAAGTCTTCCTCCTGCCTCGTTCTCTCCCATCTCTTCCTGGGCCAGATGGAACTACTCTCAGGTGCTAGAATGGCTGTTGTCATCTTACCAGCAGCCTCTCACATGCTCTGGACTCTCTGCCTGACACTCTGGCCCACCATCCTCATCCCGCAGCACAACTCGATGGCTCATGACTGACAGGCCAGCAAGGCACCTCCTCAGCCCACAGTTCTCAGCATCCTTTGCCGCGCAGGGATCACTTTTTACGTCACACCCTCACAGAGGGCCTCACACAGGGACTGAATCTGCTGAGTGGAAAAAAGGTGTGAAAAGTACTCACTAGGTGCTTCCTATGTTGGTACTGAACTAAGGACTTTATTGTATGCACGTTACATTATTTAATCCTCTTAAGAGTCAATGAGGATACTAAGAGATGATAAGTGATTTCCCCAAATCCCATTGCCATGGAGCAATGGGCTGGAGTTCAGTCCCAGATCTCTTAACTCCAAAGCCAACCCTTGGGGTTTGCTGGCTCCTGGCACTGCCACCTTCTCCTCTGCCTGGTTGGCGTAAGCAGCAGGCTAGGTGCAGCCTCCAGCACTCAGGAGCAGAATTCCTAGAAATGGACGCCTGTATCCTGAGACCTGCTGCTGTCTGACTTCTCCTTGTGGTAGTGAGGCCTGCCTAGCTGCTGGGCATTGTCATTGACCAGTAGGGTTTGATCCTGGCTATGCTGAGTGGGCTGTGTGCAGGCATTCTGGAGCGGGCCCTCTTACTCACCCTGGGTTCATGTCGCCAACCCTAGTTCTCCAGTCCCCACCTCTCTCAGCCCCAGTAATTAGGACTTGTGGCCTTGTCCAGAAAGGCCCAGTGGCAGTCAGAGGACAGAGGTAGAGGGGCCAAACTGCACAACTGATGTCTTAAGATGTTGGGATTTCCATTTTCAGCGATGGTGAATTAACTTACCTAAAACCAACTTGCACACCAAGAACAAAATAGACAAAATCACCCTGAAGCCATCAGCTCTACTGAGGAACAAGGACTTGAGGGCCGAGGTGTGGAGATCTGTGCAGGCCAACACACACATGATACTACCTCTCCCTCAGGACACGGCTGAGAACCCAGGGGCTCAAATGATCACAGTTTTTCATACCATTTTTCAGTCATTATAATTTCAGTCTAAAATTAACAGAACTGATTAAAAACAAAAACAGATCCAGAGGAATTTACATTTTGGAGTTATCAGACACTGACTTTAATAAATATGATTCATATGTACAAGGTATAAAATTTTTAAAACTAAAATGATTTTACCAAGATAGATCACCTTTTGGGCCATATAACAAACCATAACAAAATTAAAAGACTAGAAATCGTACTCTAATTGTTCTTGTATTACAATGGACTTTAACTGGAATTCAATAACCAAAAGATAACTGGAGCCCTGGCCTGTGTGGCTCAGTTGGTTGGGCGTCATCCTATGCATGGAGAGGTCTTGGTTTGATTTCTGGTTCTGTGCACCTGCCCGGGTTGCAGGCTCGATCTGCAGGAGGCAGCCAATCAATGTTTCTCTATTATCCTTGTTTCCCTCTCCCTTCCTCTCTCTCTAAAAAATCAATATAAACATATATGTTTAAAAAAAAAGAAAGAACCCTGACCAGTTTTGCTCAGCGGTTAGAGCGTCAGCCTGCGGTCCGGAGAGACCTGGGTTCGGTTCCCGCTAAGGACACGTACCTCGGTTGCAGTTTGTCCCTGACCCTGGTTGGTCATGCGGTGGCAGCCACTCGATGTGTCCGTTTCACATCGATGTTTCTCTCTCTTTCTCTCTCTCTCCCTCTCACTCTGTCTGAACAAAAAATGGAAAAATGTCCTCGGGTGAGGATAAAAAAAAAAGAGAGAAAGAAAACTAGAAAATCGACAACTATTTGGAGATCAAACAACACACTTCTAAATAACTCATGGTTTAAGAAGAAATTTCAAGAGAAATTTTAAAATATTTTGAACTAAATAAAAATGAAAGCACAACTTATCAAAATTTGTGGGATGCAGCAAAGTCAGGAAAATTTTTGTCAGTGAAAAGATCTAAAATCATCTAAAATTTCACTTTAGGAAACTAGAAAAAGAAGAGCAAATAAAATCCAAAGTAAGAAGAAGAAAATTAGTAATAAAATTTAGAGCACAGGGAAGCAAGGGCGCTGGGCGCCCGCATCCCTCAGGCTCTGGGTGGTCCTGTGGAGCCCGGCCCCACAATGGCATGGGAGCAGGGGCTGGGGTCCTCCTTGCCCCCTCCTCCTATCAGCTTCTGGACACTGTGCTCCAGAACCTCTACGACTTTGGAGAGACAGAAGATGAAGCA